TCTCTTGGACAGCTCATAAGCATCTTTCCTCTATTAAAATCTCTGAGGAGGTCTGGTTTCATCCTGTTTTCCCTTAGGCTATTGTTTCATTCCAGGCTGGTCCAAAATTCTCTAACACATTCTCCTTGGATAAGGTCATTTCCCAGTTTTCCTCCAGACTCCTTGCTCTTTCCTTCCTATGAGACTGTAGGCACCCCCACACATGTGGCACCTCCCCCCAACACACACAAACACACACACACACACACACACACATACACCACATAGAACAAATAATAAGTTTTTTTAAGTAATTAAACCTTAATTGACTTGTTATTTAGATAGTCTCTAGCCTGGGCTGGCCTCAGGCTCCATATGTAGCAAAGGATGGGCTTTCTGATCCTCCTGCCTCCACCTCTTGAGTGCTGGGATTACAGGTTTGCCTTACCTCAGCAGGTTTAAACAGTGTTGGGGATGGAACCCAGGACTTCATGTCATTTATAGTTTCAGTCAAAATGTTTGCCACCCATAGATAAACAAAACCTGGCATAGGACTGAGGAGATGACCCGATGGATAAAGCCCTTGCTGCACACACCTAAGGACCAGAGTTCAGATCCCCAGACCTACGTCAAACTGGCTATGGTGTAATCTGTAATCTATTGGATTACATCTGTAGTCCAGTACTCCTATGTCAAGACAGGAGACTGAGGCAAGAGACTCCTCAGAAGCTTGTGGGCTGGCTAGCCCATCATACAAAGCAACAAACAAGAAACCTTGTCTTGCCGGGCAATGGCAGTGCACACCTTTAATCCCAGCACTCGGGAAGCAGAGGCAAGCAGATCTTTGTGAGTTCAAGGCCAGCCTGGTCTATAGACCAAATTGGAGGATGGACAGAGCTACATACAATAACCCTGTCTTGAAAAAAAAAACAACCAAACAACCAAACAAACAAACAAACACAGAGGGGGGTAAGGGGGAAGGGAGGGAGAGAGAGAAAGAGAGAAAAAGAAAGGGAAAGAGGGAGGGAGGGATGGATGGAGAGCACCTTGTCTCAAAGAAGCTGAGGAATGACATCTGCAATTGTTCTCTTTATCTGTGTGCTACAGCATGACCTTGTACACCTTGTACACTTATGCTCTCCCTCCTCCTTCCCTATACCACTCCTTCCCACACACACATAAAAGCAAATAAAAGAGTGGAATATCCACTTAATGAATACTATTTGGCAATCAAAATGGATGGCAAATAGAACAAGATCTTAATCTTTAAAATGTTAAGTAAAGACGGGCAGTGGTGTCGCACACCTTTAATCCCAGCACTTGGGAGGCAGAGGCAGGTGGATTTCTGAGTTTGAGGCCATCCTGGTCTACAGAGTGAGTTGTTCCAGAACAGCCAGGACTACACAGAGAAACCCTGTCTCAAAAAAAAAAAAAAAAAAAAAAAGTTAAGTGAAAGTTGTAAAGATTCACATTTTTACCATCCCAGTCACATAAAGGACTCAAGAGGGTAGAACCAGAAAAAGCTAGTGGTTGCTTAGGGCTGGGGAAAAGGATGAGGAAATTAGAAATTAATGATCAGGGCATGGGATTTCTATCTGGGCTAATGAAAATGTTCTAAGGTTAATAACGGTAATGATGCCCGACTTTGTTAATATAGCCAAGCTACTGACTTCTTCTAAATGGGTAGGCTGTATGTGGTATGTAAGGTATTTTACAGGCAAACCTGGGGGGCTGGAGAAGTGGCTCAATGGTTAAGAGAAATCACTGCTCTTCCATTGGACCTAGGTTCAATTCTTAGCACCCACATGACAACTAATAACTGCCTATAACTCTGGTCCCAAGGAACCAACGCCTTCTGGCCTCTGTCGGTCCTGCACACAAGGTGGTACACAGATGTACACGCATGTAAAGTAAGATACATTTTTTTTTGTTTTGTTTTTCAAGACAGGGTTTCTCTGTATAGCCCTGTCTGTCCTGGAACTCACTTTGTAGAGCAGGCTGGCCTCGAACTCAGAAATCTGCCTACCTCTGCCTCCCAAGTGCTGGGGTTAAAGGCGTGCACCACCACCGCCCGGCCACACATTAGATTTCAACATTCTCTCATTTGCTGATAGAAGAGAACAGATTTAGAAGACAGGATTTTTCTGTCTCTGCACAATCAACATTTTGGGGCTAAGTTTGTTTTAATTTTTTTTTTTAATGGATCAGATAACCCTGGATTGCAGAGTCTTGTGCATCGTTGGGTGTCCCGTGGCCCCTCTGCTCTCCACCTGTACTCAGTTCCTAGGGATGCTATAATCAAGTGCTCAAAACAAAATGCTTAACAGCAAGAACGAGATGCTTCAGTGGGTAGAGTCTGACTCCTGTTGGAGATGTGAATAACACCAGTGATGCTCTGGTCTACATGCTACTTGTGGACCATTACCCTCAACAGCAACAAATACATCAAACCAGACCATGTGCTAGACAATAAAATAAGTCTGTAATATGAGAACAAACCTCTGAGATGGCATCCCCAAATCCCTGTGCCCTGGTACTCACCTCCTCGTGTGGGCCCCCCTCCACTGTTCTAAGGTTGGTCTAAGGGATCAGTAAATTGTGGAAATGATGACATGCCCCTTCCAAGACCGGAGATTTTGCAGCCTTCGTTCCTCTTTCCCTCTGTCCATCTCTCAGTTCTCTTATTCGAAGGGAAGCAGATCAGCTTTGTGTGTGTTATAAGCAGAGCTAGAGAGACCTGTGCAGTTAGGAACTGAGGCTCCCTGGCCACAGCACAATGAGGCTAGGGGTAGGTAGATAATCCAATCCTATGGATCCTGCAGGCCAGGGCAGACATCAGTGGAAACTTCACCAGTGGTCCAGAGCCAGGAGTACTGAACCCTCTGGGTTCCTTATGTGCAGATGCTGCTGTAAACCACTGGTGCTCTCTCCCACCCTCCACCCCCACCCATGACTGTGGAAGCCAGAAGACTGCATCAGATCTGCTGGAAGCCTGACACAGCCTGACACAAGTGCTGGGAACTGAACTGAGCTCAACTCATGTGTATGTAACCACTGAGCCATCTCTCCAGTTCCTAACTGTTCATGAGACAGGGCCTCATCTAGCCCAGTCTGTCTATGACCTCTGTAAGTAGCTGAGGCTGATCTTGTATTTCTGATTCTCCTAACAGCATCTTCCAGTGTTGGTTTTGTGGAGGTGTACCACCACACCCAGCTAACATCACTCTCCTAAATAAATGAAAACAAAATATAATCTGTGGGATGCCTCTATAGCAACCCTTAATGTGAAAAGGATTGTTTTTAATGGGTGGTAAGAAAAGAACAAAGGTCTCCATTAATAACCTATGAATCTATTTTAAGAACTAAGGTGGTGGGGGAGGGGGCTGGAGAGATGGCTCCAGAGGTCCTGAGTTCGATTCCCAGCAACCACACGGTGGCTTACAACCATCTATAAATGAGATTCGATGTTCTCTTCTGGTGGTCTGAAAAGAGCAACTATGTACTCACATGCATAAAATAAATAAATCTTTAAAAAAAATAAAGAAACTAAGGCAGGTGTGGTGATGCACACCTTTAATCCCAGCACTTGGGTACTGAGGCTCAGAATCAGTAAATCCATAGAGGCAGAAGGGAGGTGAGTGATTACAGCTGGACTGGGGATGGGTGACTTGCCAATTAATGTAAGGGCTCTTTCTAGGTTGATAAAAATCTAATATTAGCCAGGAAGTGGTGGTGCATGCCTTTAGAGTCAGAGGCAGGTGGATCTCTGAGTTCAAGGCCAGCCTTGTCTACAAAGCAAGTTCTAGGACACCCAGTGCCACACAGAGAAACCCTGTCTTGCAAAACCAAAAAGCTTTAAAGAACAAAAACAAAACAAACAAACAAAAAACTAGAGGAGCCAGGAATGGCGGTACATACCTCTAATTGAAACTGTTCAGATACGGAGTTCTAAACTAAAGACAATTAAAAGGAGAGAATATCAATAAAGCCAGAAATGATAAATCTCTTTGATGGGGTAGAGCACACGCCCAGCGCTTGGGAGGCTGAGGCAAGATTATGAATTCAAGACTAGTTTGGTCTATTCAAGCAAGACATTCTCTAGATAAAAAGGGAGCTGGTGAGACGACTCAGTGGGCCTCTAGAAACTTCCAAGCATTAAACCTATCAAAGGATTACTGTATTTTGTCAAGTAGCATTTGGTTGTATAGACAATATAATTTTTTTATATTTGTCCATCAAAGAGCCTTAGCATGCTCTCGGTTGTGGGGTACTGTTTTTGAATAATGTGCTATTTACAATTATGCATGAGATTTTATGTGTGCACAGGGTTTAATTTCTCTCGACTAATTTCCCAGGTATTAGTAGGTCACCTGACAAGTGGATGTTTACAAGAAGTTAGTTTTGGAAACTCCTTTTCCAAAAATGGTTAACCCATTCTATTCCCAAACGTAATTGGGAACGACGGTCTGCATCCTCTCCAGTTTACCACAAGGCACACCCTTCCAACCAAGCACACAATATACAGAATAAAGACCTTAAACTGGGCGTTAAAGCCTTTCAGGTGCTGGAATTACAGATGAGTCATGAAGCCAGGCCAAGAGAGGATAATCTCAAACTGAGGACCAGAAAGGTCCTCGTGACCAAATCAGGATTCGTTCACATAAACAGTCTATGCTCCTACCGCTCCGGATCCTTTGAACCTAAGAGGCACTTCGGCTCATTTTCCCACCCTCCGTCTGGCTGCTGGGACAGAATACTTCACACTCGTCACGTTTTTACTTGTCTGGTTCTGCTTACTGGTAACGAACCCGCTAATTACAGCCCCCAACTGAGGTGTATGGGGAATACCTCCCCCACCCCACCCCCCGCCCCGGAAAAAAGCGAGGATCTCGCATCTCGCAGACAGCTAGTTTCGTCCCAGCTCTATGGTTGGAGGACCTGGCTACACGCTGGAGGACTCAAATAGCACGACCAATGAGTCCGTCGCTCTTGCGCACGTGACAAGAAAGCTGGCTCCCAAACGGTCAATGTTGCAGAAGCCCGCCCAACAACTTCCGGAAGCTTTCTTTAAATTAAGGCCACGCGCCCGTTTCGGCCTCTTAGCAACGGGGAGATCTTTAAGGTAATGTGTTTTTTCCCCCCTGTGGGCAGAGGGGCTGCACCATTTGTGGGTGTGCGGCCGGTGGTGATGACACTCCATACAAAGCACGCGTTAGACTGCTGATCCGGGTGATGCGAATCGAAGTCTGAGCCGGCTGCAGCGGCGGCGGGAGGTGGCAGGCCCAGCCAACTTCGAACCCTCACCTTTCGCTTCTCTTTCCAGGTCTGCCCTGCGCAGAACAGCAGACAGCGTGGACTTCAACCTTTCCCCAAGCTTCTGAATAAAGTGTTTCAACAACATTGCTGCTGTCCGTGTTTGTCACTGTCGCCGACGCGCTGCCTTTGAGCCCCCGCGCACCTTCTCGTGGTGCCGGGGGTTAAGCTGCGGCGCCATAGCACATTGCTGGCGCATAACTGGGGCCGCCTGCCCTTCGTAGGCGGCCCTTTTAACCGCTAGCTACAGGCTCAGACTAGTCTACACGGCACTTTGGGGAGTAGAGAGCAGATGGAGTCCTCAGGCTTTAAGAGGCTTACGTTTGGGAGTAAGGATGGTCCGAGTGAACCTTGCTCAAGTAGGTGTTTTCCTTTGTCCCAACCCCAGGTGTGGGTGATAGAGAAATCGGCCTACGGTAAAATGGAATGGGAGGAACCCTGGAGGTGTATTGAATCCATCTGTGGCACACGGGGGAATGGGGCTACTGAAGACTTAGAGGGTTGGTAATTGAATCAGGCCTCCAAGGGGAGCCAAGGACGCTAGGGATCAGTGCTTGGTTAGCAGATATGCCAGAAGTTGGGCCTGCACTACTGGGTAGGGAAGAGCCAGCTAGCACGCGCTCAAATCGGTAACCTAGAAACTGACAATATTTTTTTTTTTCAAAGACAGGGTTTCTCTGTGTAGCCCTGACTGTCCTGGAACCTGTAGACTAGGCTCGAGCTCAGAGATCCACCTGCCTCCCAAGTGCTGGGATCAAAGGCGTGCGCTACCACTGCCTGGCCAGAATTCTTACTGAAACGGAGTAGTTAAGATGAGGAAACCTTGCATTTGGATTGAACAAAAGTCAAGAGAAAGGAAGCTTTAAGGGGCAGGTCCCAAAGACCAGTTTTTCTAGAAAACAAGATTAATTACTCCATCTTCGTGGTACCTTAATTTTTCCATAGGGATGGAATAATGGATTAAGAAATCCAGTTGCAGTCTCAGGATTGCTGAAGGGTGGCTAAAACTACCCTGTTGAGAGTCAGTGCATTCATGTTCCTGTGGGCTTCTCTGAAAAATAACATGCTTGTCTGCTGTTTGACATGAGAGATTTATTTTGTGAAACAATGCAAGCGGTTGTAAGTTCCCACATTTTAAGCTCGGCAGGGTGCAGTCTTGGAATCTCTTGATTGTGGTCTATCTAGTCTTGCCTTTACTGCAGAGAAAGACCAGTGAACAAGACATGTGGACTCTTGACAGGCAAATGGGAGAAATTAAAGCAGTACACTGACTGGAATGATCAAGTAATTTGCCATGTTTTAATGGGATGATTAAAATAAAGGCTCAAATAACTTTTCAATATATTAATTTCTTTAAAGTCATCTTCAAGCAAGGTGCTGTTTAAGGATATTAAATTATCAGAAGTTACCCAAGATAATTTTGACATTGGATGCAGCTTTAAACAAACAAAAAAAAAACCTAGTAGGTTTCCTCAAAGCAAGTTATACAATTAGAGCCCCCAAATTTGTAAACTAAATATTCTGACACAAATGCACAAACTTAAGTTGGCAACATTAAAGAAAGGTCACAAGTGCATGTGTAGATGTAGTGCTTGCCACTGAGTAGAGAAAGAAGTCCATTTGGCCATCAGAGAAGGGGACTGCCCACAAACCTCCCAAATCAGATAAACAAGGCCCTCCCATCCTACAGCACACAGAAAAAACAGAAAAGAACACTTTGTGGCTCCTGCTGCTTTCTGGCCCCACCCCATCAGTACCAGGGAGGGACAATCATTGTGTGCAGTATTTTGACATTGTCACATACGCTCATGTCTCTAGAAAAATCAGGATTGGTTGGAAAGCAAGGTGATTGTACCTCGTTGAGATGGTTTGATCTCATGGCTTTGCCTGATGTTCACATGAAGCCCACTGTCCCCAACCCTGGTGAAAGTGTGGGTGTGTATGTTCTATGGCTGCTTGCTTCCAAAATGCACAATTTAATGTGAAAAGTTGCTATGCCTATTTTACCACCAATGAAATGGCTCACAAAAACACACTCCACACAGGTTACCACAGTGACATTCTCCAAGTGTGGAGGGCTGCAGTCATGCGTACAAAGTGTGGAGTGGACAAATGCTCCCTTGTGCACCAGCTGCCTGAGGAAAAGCTTTGGAGGAGGCAAGGGGAAGCCTTCCAGTTGTACAGCTCTGCTCTGAATGTGCTCATTTGCTGCCATAAAACCTGTCTGACTTAAAAAAGTCATGGTTGAGTCACCTGTGACTGCCTCTACCATGACAGTTCTTTAGGTCTCCTTTGCCAGTCAAAGCTTTACAACAGACAAACCAGATGTTAGTCACCAGATGCAGGGAATGACACCTCAGTGGAATGGGCCAGCAGGCAGAGGGCATAAACAGTCCTTTAAAAGACTGGCTGTGGCACCAGTAAAGACCACCCCCACAGAACAGATGGCAGCCACAAATCCCACACCTTGAGCTAGGTCTCATAATACTGGGAATGTCCCGTCTTCACCAATCACAGCTGGTCAGAGGCCTCCACAGGTGGCTCTTTCAAGAGGCAGGAAGTGGAGCGAGGGTCCATGGCTGAGTGCATTATAGGGATATAAACATCATCCATGTTTGGCATGACAAAAACTTTCTGTAGGGAGATATTAAAGGATAGTCGTATGTCAGGCAATTGTCCTTCTTTCATATATGAAGTATTTTCCTATACATTCCAAGCATGTTCTATCACACTGTCTCTGTATGTGTGTGTCAACTTTAATTCCTTCCCACCTTATTTATTGAGACAAAAGTCTTTCACTGAATTTAGAGCTAATCACTGTGATTAAATTGGCTGGCCAGTGAGCTGGGATTTTATGTGGATGTTGGAGATTTGAACCCAGATCCTCAGGCCTGTGCAGCATGTACTTTACTAAATGGCCAGCTCCTCCGTTCTTGAACTTCAAAAGACCCAAGGAGCTGGCAAGGTGGCACATGCTTTTATTCCTAGCACTTGGGAAGCAGAACCCAGCAGATATCTATGCATTCAAGGCCAGCCTGTGAGTTTCAGAGCAGCCATGGCTGTTACACAGAGAAACCATGTTTGGAAAAACCAAACAACAACAAAAAGAGCCAAAGAACCATACCCAGAGCACAAATACAGGAAGAACCTGGTGTGTCAGCTTTGAGGCAAGAGCCCTCAATTTCATATATATAGATGTATGTATGTATGTATGTATGTATGTATGTATGTATGTATATATGTACTATGTAAGAAACATTCAACAACCTTAATGTAGAACTGGCTTAGCAACTGCAGTATTTCAAAATCATGTTCATGACATATGTCAAGTGAATTCATTCTTTTAAATCTCAGCACAAATGTAAGCTGAGTTTTTTCACATCAAGGAAATCCTAATATGGTGACAGCACAAAGGATAAAGACACAAAGCTGAAGGCCAGGAGGAAGGTTAAACAGGTTCAGGGGCTGGATCCTGAGTCTGAGACGTGAGCTTAACCATTGGCACCCTCAGGGTAGAAGAGAGCTGACTGCAGGTTGTCCTGACACACGCACCTCCACACTCAAAACTTAAAGTGGGACCTATGGAGGCAACTCTTTCACTGAAGTGCTTTCTTACAAGCGTGAGGACCTGAGTTTGATTAATGAAACTCCAGAAGTTGGGCAATCCCAGTGCTGGGAAGACAGTCAGATCCCAGGAGCTCCATAGCCAGCTAGTCTAGACTTACTTGTCCAGTTCCTGGTCAATGAGAGACCCTGTTACAAAATACAAGGTGGACAGTGCCACACACCTCAAACTTAAAATATACCAATGAAAAGGAATGCAAATATTCTTCAAAGAAGTAAATTTATGACTAAGTAAATAAACCATTTACTAACCCATAAATTTTGAAGCACTTTGTTTTTCTTAAAATTTTGAGACAGGATCTCTCCAGGCTGTCCTGGAACTCATTATGCAGAGCAGTCTGGCCTGCCTTTGTCTCAAGTGCTGGGATTAAAAGTATTCACTCCCAAGCCTAGCTTCCATAAAACTTCAAGACAGCCATGCTTCAGATATTGGATCAAGTGACTGGGGAAGGTTCAGTGTGAGTGGTTCAGTGGTAGAGGGCTTGCTTAGCATATGCAAGGCCCTGAGTTTGATTCCCATCACCACAACAAAGTAAAACAAAACAAAAATCTGATCAAAATCTGAAAGAAATAGCTCATCCCAGGCCTGGGATACTGCTACTATCACTGGTGGCAGAATGCAGTAAGCAGGTTTGGAGAGTAAACTCTGGCTTAGGTGTTATTTAGGGGAGGCCCAAATGACTTTAGATTCCCAAGAGAGTTGTTGCTGGCATAGAGTTTCCTTGAATGTTAACTAAACTAAGTAAGGCAACAGAGAGTCAGGGAACACCTTTCCTGCCCACCAGCTAGGTGCTGCTGGCTGCCCAGTTCCTGACTTCACGAGGGACAAAGCCAAAGCCTGGAGAGTCTCTGCAGGCTTACTGGTACAGGGCACCATCATCCTGCCTCTAAATACATCTGCTGGATTCTCTGGAGTCTATTTAATGGGAAAGTTTCAGGGTCTTTGGAACCATTCCTAAAGTACTAAGCCCAAACCTGAACATAGGTATTTTCTACTAGGATGACGTCCATGCAATTCTCCATGAGGATCTTGACCAGGATGAAGTCCAGGCCCTCCGTTCCACTCAGTGCTCTTACACTCTGTGGGAAACACGGGTGTTTTACCTGAAGCTCCTGCTCCAGTTTCTTCTCTATCCACTCTGTCACGTGAACTAAAGTTACTTCTCTCTCTCCGAGTTTTGGCCGAGCTTTCAGCTCCACATATGGTGGCTTCCGGAAACCATACCTTCGTGAAGAAGACAGTAACCACATTTAAGGAGAGAAAGGAAGTGGGCAAGCACTGGCACCACAGACCCCTTTCTGGCACAGGTTTATCACTAAATGATCTCTAGTTCTAAACCGCCACATTCCTGACTCAGCACAGCACATGTGAACCCTGAACGCCTCTGTCTGCTGGGCAGTGTCAGGGCTCTGAGGGATTCACAGCAGTGCTGACAATGGAGAAATGCTGACAATGGATTGAT